GCAAGGTTCCAGCATGGGAGTGAAAGAGGAAGCCCAACAAACAGCTGGTTTGGGGGCTGTTTAGCAGACTCCCACCTGCCTAACCACATTGGAGCCTTGCTGGTTCAAAACTCTGGTGTTATAAGGAATCTGGGGGCCCAACAAACACCTTTGTCAGGTTCTCCCCACCACCACCACCGCACTGGAGTTCTCCGATTTTATTACCTTTATGGAGCAGTTTGATGTTAGCTCACCATGTGTTAGGTAATACAGTATGCAGATACTCTGGAAAAGGTCTAACTTTACTACACTGTGATGACACTGAACACATGCTTTACTGCTTGAATGCTCTGACACTAGTGCGTAAATGCAGTTAGCATGTGCCAAGGGTAACATGTAACAATACCATAATGCAGCAGGCATGGCCCTCTTGGTAATTTTTCTTTCTAGCTTCATTTCCTGCAATCCACCTAGTAATGGAAGTGAAACCCACTACGATATTGCGCAGATACCTAGAAACTGGATGAAAGGACTCTGAGAGGAGACCTTAACACGTAGGTTATAGTTCTGTACCAATAACTGCTGTTTTAAATCTTTTTGCCCCGACACTTCTCAGTGCAGGATCAGGCTATCATCTTTATTACTTGTTATAGTTATGATTCAGGAAGATACTTTGAGGTACAGTACCTAAGAACAGCTAAGCAAGTTGGAATGTTAATCTCATCTATTGTTTCCTTAGAAATTATACAGGATTATAACATATTATGGCTTTTATCCAGGTCCTATATGCCCATACTAGAAAAACACGTTCACAGTGGGCATCCTCTTGGAAAATTTAACAAAAGGGCAAATGAGGACACATAGACAAGTTTTTCTCCGGTGTAATGTCACTAAAATTAGAATTGTTTGACATTGCCGAGGCAACGTGGGAAGGGGTGTGCTGCCAACTGCCTGTGCTGATACTGTTCTCTGGATATGCAGAACACTTCATTTTCTTGTTTTGTCAAACTGGTCCCTTTCCTGAACACTAAGAGACGTATCCACAACTGACTTAAATCAAAGACCTCCATGAACTTTATTGGGCTCTGGATTGGCTCAAGTATTATTTATTTATTATTGAAATTATTTATTGCCATATTATACATGTCTTATTAGATAATAAAGTATATCATCTTACTGTATTTGCAAATGGGAGATGATTGAGCCATATAGACTGCATATATACTATTGCATATATAGGAATATATGAACTATTGTATTGACAAACCATTTTTAGCATTGTAGTGGATTGTAGTAATCCAGGGCTCCAATTGTAATTATTGGTCAAGTTGAATTCTCTAATTGTTGTTGCCTTCTAGCTGTCAGCTCATCTAAGTCACAGGTGGTTGCTTCAAAGAGATTGATGATATGGGTGATAATGGGATGCACTGACTTGTGACTTCAATTTGGAATTTATCACTGAAAAGAAAGCAAATAAATGGGAATCCAAGTTCTTTTTCCAGTATTTACCTTTCCCCTTTCTCTTTTGGATTCATAAGGGTAGCTGGTTTAAATTTCTCATTGCCCATTTTCTATAGCTTTCTTTTGCTTCTTTTTATGTTTGTATGCTAGCACTCACATGTCTCACACTGTATCATCTAGATCAATGAGGTCTCATTTGATATGTGTGGATAGGGGCTCAATTCAAGTTTCTAAAGTATTTGACCAGGAATATGTTCCAAATATTAAGACTTCAGTAACATTCTAACCTGAATTATTCAGGAAGAAATGAAACAGTTGTTTCAATCAATAAGTGAGTTGCACTGCATGTATAAATGAGACTGCCTATCCACAATCAAATCTGTGAAAAGCAGTAAGATCTAGGTGCTTTTTGCTTGTTTGTTTTAATAGTACTACTAACGTCCAGATGCTAAATTACCTATCCATTTGACATGGGTGCAAATATGTAGGCTGAGTCTGAGGGACTCATTTCTTGTTTAAATTAAGAAATATGCAAAGAGAAGTACATATGATCAGAAAAATAACTGTAAAACAAACCCCTTAATATTGTGTCCATTCATTCCCTATGAGTCTTGTGAATCATATCTGCATAATTTAGTAGTTTTAAATGTTGCCAACATTTGCAAAAGCACAAGCTTTGTCCTTTTTGGTAATGATAAAACAGGCTAAGAGAAAATAAGGAAGTCATCTGAACTGCTCTCCACACAAACGTGTGACCAAGTCTTACCTTTTACGGAGCTTAGGGAAAGGGCAAGGAAAGAGGAGAAAGTTTGTTTGCATTTTTTTTTAATTCTATGCTTATCTTTGCTTTTTTTGGTTTTGCTCTGAACTAGAGACAGAAATACTGAATTAACCCAAGCTAAGCAGCCTGGAAGTATTTTTGATCTCACTGAAATCAAGAAGTAATGAAAATCTCACTTAGATGTCTCTTCTCATTAAATTGTCCAACTGATTTCCAGACTCAACAGATTTGAAAAATAGATTTGAACTGAACTGCAGATAAAGATCCACATTTTTGGATGCTTCTCCAAATGGAATTTTGGAACCAGTTAACCCTGTTTCCAGAATCACTCTTTCTATAGGGGTGTGTAACACAGACCAATACATTTTGCTTTCACATAACTAGATTCATTCGCAATGCTCACAGTTATATCACAGAATGACCTCTATGTGGCCATGGTCCCCACACATTTCTGGAGGCTTTGTGAATATGGAAAATCCAGAAAGGATGTTTTAGATTTCAAATAAATATAATGAATTTAAGGTTATAAGTCTGGGTCCTTAGAACTTGGATCCCTTACTAGAGTTCAGGGAATCCTGATCCTTTAAAATATATTGTAACATGTTGGGGTCCTAGGCATGGCCATGACACCCCCTGCAGGCTGTGGTTTCATAGTTTCATAGTTACATAGTTTTAGGGTCGGAAGGGACCTAACAGATCTTCTAGCCCGACCCCCCGCCAGGGCGGGAGAACAACAAAAGAACCCTAAACAAAAAACGGGACTCAAATGAGTCCAGCCAGGTAGGTATCCAGCCTCTTCTTAAAGATCCCCAGGGTAGGGGCCAGCACCACCTCCCTTGGAAGTTGGTTAATTGTTGCTGTGTTCCTCCCTACACTTTAACACTGCATGAAGTGAACCTGTATGCCTATATGGCCTGCAGAACACTTAGGGATTGTTCAAGATGAAACCCACTGTAAAATGGTCTCTTTTCAGCCACTATCTCTATTGTGATTCCCAGTAGAACCAAACCAAGCTCATAGGTTTGCCTGTGCCCAAATGTTCCTTCGGGCTGGTGAAGTTAAGGTACACCAATGTGCCTACCAAAGAGTGCACAAGGAAGTGCTGTTGTTAACATCATATCCAGCCCCTTTGACTCCCCAACCTGAATGACCAGGGCCATGGATGAAATCTAGTGCTATTTAAATATGTGGGAGTATTACAGCTGGCTTGATGTGTGATTTCACCCCATACTTTAATAAGTGTTCATATAGCAGCAACACGGCAATTCACTGCTCCGATTGCAACTTCTAGGCTGTAGTGCAAAATATAGATTGGATAATTATATTTTAAAAAAATAAAGGTTGTTTTTAAAGTATGAGATCAAAAATACTATGCGTATGTGTGTGTATATATAAATGAGTGTATATTTAAAACTATTGTAAAAGCATTAAATCCATCTTGATAAATATTTTATCTCTGAGTTAGGTTGAAGGACAATTATTTGGCATTAAGTATTTCCTGTTCCCAAAATAAAATGTTACTATACCACAGAATTACTAATAGTTTAGGAGGAGCTCAAAGCAGAAAGGGAAGATTATTGTGCAATGTCTTCAGAGAAAATGACACTGGGTACATCTACACAAGACTCTTTGCTCAAGATTAGATCAAATTACTGCACAGTAAGCATCACCGTCTATATGTGCAGACGCTTACTATGCAGTAATTTGCTGCCATCATGATTAGTTACTGTATCATACAGCTTGTGAGTACTTAATGTATCATATGGCATGTGTAGATGGCCAACTGGGAGCAAACTTGATCCCAGTCAGCTGGACAGCAGGGGGCAGGAGATTGCTCCCTGCCCCTGGGATCTGCCTAGGGCCCGGGCACCAAAGCCCAGGCAGGGACAATGTCCCCATGCCCCAGCAGCAGGAAGCTCGCAGCCCCCACTCCCCAATCTTGTTTAGAGAGCAGGGGCTGGGGAGACTTTTCCCAGCCGCAGTTCCATGATTGCAATCATGGAGCTGGGTGAGGAACAGGCTTGGGAGCTTGTTCGCTATCAGCTCCATGATTGTGGAGCTGGGCAGGCAACAGGCTGGAGAACAACCTGGAAAGCCTGTTCACTGCCCTGCTCCATGACTGCAGAGTGGGGGCTGGGAACCATCTCACTTAGCGGCAAGTCCCAGCCCCGTGTCCCAATCAGGCAATCGAGGCATGGGGCTTAGAAAGTTCTTCAAGGGAGGGGCAGGTCCTAGCCCCTTGCCCTGATCCACCAGTGGGCAGCAAGTTGCGAGTCCCTGGCTGGGCAGGGATTTGCTCTCCCACTGGCAGATTGAGGCTGGGGGCTGGGACCTGCCCCTCCCTTGCAGCTCTTCCCAAGTCCCCTGACCCCAAATGGGGAGCTAGGGCCAGGAGCTGCCTGCTGCTGGGTCAGGGGGACATTGTCCTTATCTGGGCTCTGGTGGTGGAGCTCACCCTGTCAAGCAGCCAACCCCCCGGGGGCAGGAAGCAATCTGTCTTCTGGCCCTGCACTGCTGGGCACATCTGTCTCTTGGCCCCATGCTCCCTGCCAGACCCTGGGCTACACCCAGCAGCAGATCTGTTCTCTCACCCCTGCACCTGTAGGTACCTGCCCCAGGTGGGGTTAGTCTGGAGTAAATACAGTAAATTACTCTAGAGTAAACCCACCTTGCAGCATTTGCTTGTGTGGACACACCCACTGATAATCAAACTTACTTTTCAATTAATGTATGAAGAGATTCCAATGTAGATTAAAACAGCCCATTTTGTATTTTACAGGAAATATTGATGAAGCAGAACAAGAGTGGAAAGCAGGATTCCATCGCTGGAACAATTACATGATGGACTGGAAAAATCAATTTAATGATTACACTAGCAAGAAAGAAAGCTGTGGAAGTCTCTAATTAATAGGTTTACCCTTTCCAGAATGTCCATATTGCCCTTGATCAAGTCAAACTTACAGGTAGCTATCTAACATGTCATGCAATAAAGTTTGTTGTACAGATTAAACAAAATGTCATGGATATAATATTGATTCCCCAGATCATTCATTTATATTTTAACTCATATCTCAATAAACAGTATAAGGCATTCCTACCCTTTGAAGCTTCGGAGTGTGTTAAACAGGACTATAGAGATTAACGCCTGAAGATTAATGATGTACATATTATCATAAACACTAGCTGCTTAAAGTCTCACTTCAAAGAAACAATGTAATCTGTTACAGAAAGATGACATTTGTTTAGAAATATCAGTATTTTAGTATTGCCATGCAAAGCACAATTGGTTTAGACCTTAACTGCAATGCTACAGGATTTAAAATTTTGCTCCACGTATAATTTAGTTAACATAAACGTAAAGGAGAAATAACTTCACTGAACACAACAAATGTTATTTGCTTGTCAAATCAAAAGGGACTTAGGAAAGTTAATGCCTAAAGCATTGCTCTTGCAAGGCCCAGTCCCAGAAAATCAGCACACAGCTCAAGTAGACATACCTAGTATTCCCAAAGGGCTAAGAAATAATGCCATTCTCTCCCCTGCATTACAGAGCATCCATGCAAACCAGTCAGTGTAGCCTCTTTGCTGCCTGCCACCTCATTCTCATGAGGTAAAAGATCCTGAAAGTAATAGGTTCAAAACTAGTGCCACCCCATGTATGGATCTGCTCCCCAATGCTTCCAACGTTACCCTGTGCAAGACCCCCTGGTGCAGCGAGGTTTTGAATAGGGTAGACACATACCCACTGCGCATGCCTCCTCAATAATCCTGTCCTGGCCAGCATAGTGGAAAGAGCCCAGATTCATTATGTGAGGAACCCTCTGCAACCTTAAAGACTTGACTCAACAAAATGCCAGCTTGTTGGATATCAGACATATAGCCCTAGTTTTTTGATTAGGTAGAAAGATTACAGTCACTGAAACAGACTCTATCCTCCAGTGTTTGGTCAGTTTTATAATGCTGACCACACAAAGAGTTTACCAAGAAATGTTGTAGACTCTCCGTCACTGAAAGTTTTAAAGTGCAGGTTAGATAAACACTTGCGTACAGGGATAACCCTGCCCTGTGGCCCCTTCCAGCCCTATTTTTCTATGGCAATATGATTATTCAGTAATAATCAATGGTGCCTTTAGGAGCTAAATCTCCTCACTAGTCACAAAATTGGGCTGCTTTGGTCTGTAATAAAGGGCCCACATTGTCTCAAATAAAGAACTTCCCCTTTTCTGTAAACTTTAAATTAATATTTTTGCAGTGTCAAAAGAAAAGTTTGGGTTGCTGTTTCTTACTTCTGCAGTTCCTGATGTTTGACTGGAAGGAAAGCACTTTAAGAAGTTTTCTTCTAGTTGATCCAGTTGGAAGGAATTAGCACCAGCATTCTCCTGTGTTCACAGGTTTGGGAGAAATTCCATGTCCAACTTGGTAGACTGAAGAGATTGGAAAGGATGAACAGGCAGATTTCTGATAGTCACTTGGCAACATGAAACCTCTGGACAAAAGGACTGATGATTTTCTTTGCAGTAAGCACTTTAACTGCTAAAAGATTTCATCCTTCCAGTTATAGCTGAGGGAATGTAATTGTTTCCTATATACCCTGCTGGAAGTCAATTCCAGAATTATCACAATTTCTATAAAGATTAGCTTCCTAGAATACAACCAACAGCCAGTCAACCATTTGGGGAGGTTGAGTTATTGTCTGGGGTGCCCCTAAACTCGACATATTGAATGTCCTTATCAGAAACCATGCACTTATCCAAGTTAATATTTTATTGATGATATTAATAGCATGGGAAATTTTGACAATCTACAGTGTACCATTTATTTAACATGTGTTCTCTGCATACGACTGACAGATTGCTAATCAGACCTTTAGGGATCTTGATATAAGGCCGAGCCGTTGTGCATCTTCCAGCTGATTTGCTTGGTTTAGTGGGTTATTTTTTCTTTTCACTTAATAGGTGTAATTTCAAAAGTGCTTAGTATTAACCAACTCTGCCAACGGTGAACTTTAGTGGGAGCAGTGTATCTCTAAGCACTTTTGAATATTGCTCTCTCATTTTGTTTTTATCCTTCTTGCCATTTCAGTTTATTTTTGAGACAAACAAGAAACACCAAAAAGCAGGGATAGCTAAATATACAGGTAACTTTTCATTTTTAGGCAGTTTAAGAGAGATTTGTTTTCCTCTGTGTTTCTTAAATCAGGATTGGTAAGGCATATGTAAAGAATGATTCTCTTTCTACAGTTTGTAGTTAATCACTGTAATAGGCAACCTGAAAGTATGGTTGTGGGCAGGGAGAGGGAAGAAAAACAGAATAAAATAAAATATAAACCCACTCATTTGAAGTGTTGGCTTTTTTGGATTGAAAATATTGTGGGACTTTCACTTTTCTCACACAGAAAAAGGATTTCTCTGAGTACCACAACAGCATCATTGACATGCTGTGCTGATTTCATTTGGTCATATGTCTCTATGCAATGCTTATGCAAATACAATAAAACCTGTCTTACATGACTAATGATGGGAACAGAAAAAAAATGAGTCACTCATTGTTGCTGGTTTATGATTAGAGATTAAATAAAATCATATGCAAATTGCATGAGAGTAGTTTAGTTATATAAAACAATAAATGCCAATTGGAGGGATATGTTTAATGACACTTCTTTTACCTCAAAAGGGGCAAGCATCCAGAGGTTAAAAGTGAAAATATCTGTTACAGAATATGTGTATACTCTACTCATGTGTTAATACTGTACTCATGCTCTGTGCCAGAATCCCAAATCTTCATGCAATCATAGAGTAGCTGGAAGTTTCTATTATAATGATATGCACTTCCAATAATAGTGCTAGCATTTAAATAGTTGTCAGTAGGTTTATGAGTTATACTGATTCCAGTGGTAACATTTCACACCTAACTCAGAAACACTCATGTAGCATCATGATAGAGTTCCTAATAGAGCTGGAGCCCTCAAATGAAAATTTGTTTCAGGAGAAGGTGCCAGTTTGTTGAACCTGTAATATCTTGTTCAGAACATCTTGGACTGGTCAGACTTCTGCTGCATCTAAGGCAGCACTCCCATAGAGCCCTGTGGATTCTCCCAGAGTCCAGGAGCCTGGTCTTCCAGGGTTACTCGCTCTGGCACTGATTCTCTGATGGGGCTCCAGAGTACAGTGCTGGGACCGATCTTCCTGGCAAGGACCTAGGATTCCTAAACGCCACATCTCCAGGAACTGGGGGCGGAAAGCCCTTAGAGCACTGTCTTTGTGCAGAGTTTGGCTTTCAGCTCCAGACATGAAAGCACTGAGAACCACCAAGGCATCCCATTCCCCAAACATAGACACTACAGTGGGATGTACACTACAGTACACTTCATCAAGGACACATCTGCCTCGTAGCCAGCAATCCTGGGACCCCTGAAGCTTCTCTTTTTGCTCGGATTAGTAGCAAAACTAACTTTGGAAAGAACAAACTTCCTGTTTTTCAGCCAGCTCTGCTTTCTACAAGCCAATCTACTATAGTGATAATTTACTATATAAACAAATAGATGAACAGACAATCAGGCAGGATCAATTCATTGTTTCTGTCTGTCAGCCAACTCAGTAAAGCACCCTTGTATAAGTTCTCATTTGGAGACATCTATGTAACATTATGGAAATAAATCCTTTGGTTTTTTTGGAGGAGGGAGGTGGCAGGGTATGGGATAGAGAAAAATGAAATCTGAAATTGTGGAGAAATTGATGCAGTTGTCAGAAAATAGCCCTTACAAAACCAATATATGGGTTCAATTTGATGTCTGTACTATTAGACCTCCTTACTGTTCCTGTTGTACAGGATATACTGGTAGAAAGATATCTTTTTTCATATTTCATAATGTACTTTTCAGCTTATCAAAATTGTGGTAGGGGCTTTAAGTATATATCATAGCATCAAGGCTTTCCAGCCCACTGTCTGAAAATGTAATATTAAAAATGTATACCCGGGCATGTGTGTATAATAAGAAAGTTGCCTTCATCTCAGTCCTTGTTATGGTTCATACACACACCCTGGCTCCACATGAGTTCCATAACATCAGCAACAGCCGATTTATAGGGACAGAATAAACAGCATAATACTTCTGTTATGCCTGCAGTATGTCCAACTTTATTAAAGAACAGCATGTGGTGTCAGTATCAAATGCCAGGCTGAAAACAGTAGAAAGCCCCCTGGCTTTCCCTTCCCCTCCAATAAAATAACAGATAAAAGACCAAGACTTGCTCCAGTGTTAACAAGAGTTACAGGGCCCATAGAAAACAGTATATGTGGATGCACTAAGCATTGTGCTAGCTCTGCTCTGCTTATTCCAGCCAAAACATTCCCCCACTAAGCTGAAGAAAAAAGGTTAGGAATTTGACAGTGATTCAGAATATGGGTGAGATATGAGAGCAGCAGCTTTGGCTTTTAAGTGTGGAGCCTATTGCGGAGGAGGCAGTGCCAGCTGACTACTTTCGCCCTGTCTTTTTCTTTCCATCTCAGTGCAACCGTGGGCATTTGCCAAAAAGTCTGTCTACTTTTGGCTCACTTGCAGTTGCAAAACCAAACACCTGTGTAACAGATCTGTGCAGCTGTATATGTTTACCACTGCTGATCCATCTGTAGTACATGCCACACGCCAGTTGATTTACTCTGGCTAGATTGGGAGCAAGAATCCATTAGAGAATGTCCCTGGCATAATTAACAAGCATTTCTCTCTTTCTCACAGCTCTGTTTTTATCTCAGTCACTTATGTTTCTAGGTGGGATTCTTGCTGCTGTGTAATTGTTGCTAGATGCCAATGATCAAACATTTGATCTAAGCTCTGGCAGCAAGTTTTTCACTATTTGAATATCACATTCTAGTGATCAATAGACAGTATAGAAAGCATCTATTACATATGATGAGGTTAGGATTAGTAGGAAGAAGGTAGGGGAATTTAATAGTCTTTGACTCT